TTCTCTCTCTCTCTCTCTCTCTCTCTCTCCCTCTCTCTCTCTCTCTCTCTCTCTCACACACACACAGACACACACACACACAAACACACACACACACACAGATACACACGCACAATCCCACGTGAGTTCATACACACACACACACACACAAACAAAGAGAAGGAACACACACACACGCACACACAGACTCACAGAGGGAAGGGGGGGGCAGTCCCGAATATGATGAGCAAAATCGAATGAATCTACCGCCAGAACTTGGAAATAGACACTGCCACACTTTTTTTTTTTTTTTTTTTTGAAGACCCGAATTCCCATACCCATAGTCGACATCTCATCACACCTTGGTCGTGGAACATGTACAGGGGCTATAGATCCGTGAGGGAGAAGCTGCTATTAGGTGAACTGTTGGCATAATGCCATGGTAGTGTATATGCAACGTCGCGGGCTCGATTCTTGTCGAAGTGAATGACCCGTGAAGCGCTGACAAGCGAGAGCGTTCAGGCGGGCCGTAGGGAGAGCGCACTGCACGGCATCCCCTCCCCTCATTCTTATCCAGTTTGCCAAGTCTGTAGACTCTGTACTAAGCAGATGCTAGGCTCGGAGCGCCACGTGGGTAAGTGGCCCTTACCTGAAGGTTAAAGGCGCATTCGCGTGTCTTGTCGGGACAAGAATTGTGCGTTCGGCAGTCTTTCCCTATCACCGTTCCCTCCATCTTTCCTCCTCTCTCTTTCCTCCCTCATTGTACAAAACGAATGACCATTAGAAGTGCTCTGACGCAATCTTCAAACAGTAGCGAAGTGTATAGTCTTAACCTCTTATTTAACATTACGTATACATGCTCAATAATAACTGAAATTCGGATCAACTGCAAGCCTTTGGATTGTTCTGTCTAGGACCCGTAAACCGGAACGCATAACTATTCTTGCCCTTTAAGACGAGACGACCATCAAGAGAGAGAGAGAGAGAGAAGAGAGAGAGTAAGAGAGAGAAGAGAGAGTCTCAGAGCGATTGAAACAGAACTGCCCGGCAAACCGTAGGCAGAGAGGGAGTACACACACACACACACACACACACAGAGAGAGAGAGAGAGAGAGAGAGAGAGAGAGAGAGAGAGAGAGAGAGAGAGAGAGAGAGAGAGAGAGA